TTTGCTCCCGCTGCCCTTCCAGTTTTATAGGACGGAAATGGCACCGTTGTTTGCATTTAGATGACGACGGCGATGCCGATGTAGATTAGCATTGGCTAGCAGAGGATAGCAATTGAATTAGCATAGGAGAAACTGCGAGTATTTTTATCGGGGAAAGTCCGATGCATCAGATGTAACGATAAAATCAACATAATCTTTATCTCTTGTTTTACTCCGCGCAGAACGATGAAACGAGTGAAAAATAACAGCGGTATTTTGCTAAGTTGATTAAAACTGAAACCCAGTGACAGGAATAATCGAGGGATGATTATGTAAGTAAGGTATTAATATCGCGAAATTCTCTCCGATCGAACGGTGAGATGGAACGTCGTCGTGGTGAAAATGATTATCGGCACTCCGCCGTCATAAAACTTCGTACGATTGGACTTACCTTCGTAATCGCGATAAATACGTGTCGATCGCGAAATTTAGCCAGTATGCAAACTGCCAGCTCCGAAAATCCGGCGCGTTGATCAAACGGCAAGTCAATTTCGCAGCGAAACTCGCTGCTCGAGCGAGTCTGATATCTGCGCAAATAAACGCGACCCGAACGCTGCGTAAATAAGTTCGATTTATTCGAATCGAGAAACATTGACACCCCGGGCAGAGAATTACGTCACGCTATGGCTTTAAGAAATTTAGTAGACGGTTCGCGTTGAGTGCATACCCTCGTTACCAGACTGGCTTGGCGTTTCTACGCTGCTGGGGCGAGTTATATACAGTCTGTGCATACATCACACGCATGCTTTTGTTGCACGTGGTCAAAGAAAATGCGAGCTGATTTACAGCCGGCATTCACTTTGAGAGCATTCCCTTCTTACCGAAGATAAATCGACAGGAGCCGCGCATTTACTTCTCCTGTCTTTTCTTCCGTATACTCTATAAGATTCACACTTGAAGATGCTTAAATCTGCTAACGTGGGAAAAGCTACATCTAGACTAGGAGATTTCTGCATCTGCTATTCCGCTGCGGAATGCGTCGAGATTTATTTCTCATTTTTTCTACGTATGAATTTATCTGTTCAATTTCTTGCGCTTCAGCTCTGTACTTGTGCGAATTTATAATTCTTGCCGCGGATTTTTCCCCGTTTCTTTTTTATTTTTTCTTCTTTCACTCCCTGCCCGGCGGCCTGTCTTGCTTTATACTCCTTGAAATTTACATTTGGATTTCTCTCTGCGAGAGAACGATCGCGTTAATCGACGTGAAACGCGAAACGCCAGAATTCTTTTGGTCGGACGGTATAAACGAAGTGTCATCAATCACACGCCGCTGATGGCAAACTAAACGTCAACTTTCACCGGCGACAATAACTTACCTTCTCGCGTTTGCTTTTACGCTGCGAGTAAAGTACGCGGGACAATGCGTGTTGTTCATAGCGGAAACATGATACAAATAAATAAATCATACTTTCCGGAGACGAGAGAAACGCTGCAAGCGTAAACCCTCCGCTTCCCTTTCCCCTTCCCTCTTACAGACTTGGAAATCTGCTACTCGGTTAGATTATCGTCTCACCGCGAGATTCAGTGCCCCCTCTCGACCCCCCGCGAGCTTATTTCCATTTACATCCACCACTTCTATTCGCGAGACTCGTACGCTGTTCTTACGACTGGTCGAGTACCGCCATAACCGGTACTTCAAACATCCTTTTACTCGGATACCCGTACTTGGAATTTTTTTATTACGCTCGCAAGGAAGCAATAAAAGAGCAAGCTTGGTGTACGGTCGCGTGCACCTCGATGATTTGATGTAGGACGGTCGGTCGAGCAAAAGGACCCCCGGTCAATAAGATATTCCAACTAAAATTTTCCATCGAAAGGGATTATCCTGCACGAGTGTACGCTATAGAGTGCAATCCTGTTAACTTCCCGTGTATAAGTAAAAAAGTTCCGCATACGTTGTATCGCACGTACTTATGTGAGAGCAATATACTTTACATAGTCTCCGCCGGTACAATATCACAAGGTTCGTGTATCACCGACTTTAATAAACACTGTACAGATAGAATTCACAATTGACAGAATTAATATAGAAAACGAATGTACTGCAGTATCCTTAGGATAGGATAATCTCTTGAAATATTCAATCGGTAATCGCGGTTGTAAGAAGCCATATTAGCATATCAAACATCTGCATAATTAATGACTTTGATATTGAAATATCGCGCGCAGAGAGAAGCAGTGACAGAGAATGAGAGAGAAAGAGAGAGAGAGAGAGAGAGAGAGAGAGAGAGAGAGAGAGAGAGAGAGAGAGAGACGTTTAAAATCGATGAGCCATTTTAAAATTGGTCAACGAACCTAATTATGGCAGCTTTGATATCGCGATATCAAAGACACGGTCGCGCTCGCATTGTTAATTTAGAAGGATACCTTTAAGAAAATGAGTAAAACGCGAAGTAGATTTTACCTTAGTTTGTAAATCCTATTAAAAAGTATAGCGGAGTCTCTGTAAAATTGAAACTTCTTAAATGTTCCGAAGAGACCGGTAAAATTCAGCGATCGAATTCAGTGACCCGTTTTCATAATATACGAACGGACAGTTTTAACACTTTTTACGAGCCATGGGAAAAACGACGCATCGGTTATAATGTCATTTCGTTCAAATCAAATTTCCGCTGATGAATAAATTTTGTACCGTACAACCGCGACAATTACATGGAAATCTGGAGCGCGCAAATTTAACGCGCATACGACTGAATATTAGACCAGGAACTTATGACGACACATACCCCGCAGCTGCACGTTAATGTTTTCAATTGAACCATACGCACAAATTTACTAATCGCACGTATAAATTGCTTGGCTTAATTATAAAACGGCTGAAATTAATTTCGATGCATGCAAGGAGCCGGAGGTATTGCCCGATCAAACTTTGCGCTGTAAAATACATTCGCAACACGTTTTTTCATAGTAGCGGTTTTGGGAGCAAAAAATCATACTTCATGGCGGGATTAATAACGGTTCCCGTCAGTCTGTATAAAATGTTACCACGCGCTCGATAGTTATCACAAAACAAGAGAATTTCCTACGGATCAATGATAGTTACAATTTCACAATTTTCCGATAAATTTTTATGTGTTGTATTGTGATTTCAATAACTTTTGAATAATCGCTGAAAAAATATCTCTAGCTGCAACATGATTTCGTATGTAGACACGAATCGGGGTATTAAAATATCTTTTGTTTTTATTTCGTTTAAATCTAATTTTAATGCCAAGCGACAATTAATAATTATGATTAGTTATCATACATATTGGATATTTCATACGACGTGTTGTAACGATGTACAGAGCATGTACACAAGGGAAATTAGTCAGAAGAAACAGTTTCACCTGAGGAATTTCATATTCATGCCACATCTACGAAATCAAATTACAACGCGGCGCCCCACGTAATCGCCCGAATCATTGAGGCTAGCCAGTCGTATTCGGCACTTAAGTGTGTCGCCAAATCTTCCCGCCGATATTAAACATATTTTACATCGTGCGACATGCATTTCCGACTTGCGCAAACAAATTCTTGAGACTTGCCGAATATTTCTCATATCTTCTGCGGAATGTGCGAAATCCGCGGTTAATAAAACGGCATTTCTCTCTCTCTCTCTCTCTCTCTCTCTCCCTCCTTCCCTCCCTCTCTCCTTCCCCCTCTCTCTCTCTCTCTCTCTCTCTCTCTCTCTCTCTCTCTCGTGCCGTAAACCATAAATTAGTTCATATAGTTTGGCCTTGCACCCCAGAGTACAGCGAGCAGCAATCAGCTCAAGGGCTTCATATTCCCCTACATATAGAGCATAAGCTAATTATGACAAGTATATCGTGTAATTGCGACGAATTCGCCGAAGCGCGAATAACATGGTTGGAAATATGAAATCCCAGTTTCATTCGACATTGCGTCGCTGCGCTGCTAAATGTTTATTTCTCGCAAGAGCCGGCAAACTTGGCCAACTAAAAGCGGTCCGATTAACAAGCGCGCGACATATGGAATATAGAGGAATATAGAGCTGATATAAATGATGTTTATACGCGGGGATACGTATAGATGCGGAAGCCTCTTGAAATTTCGCCTCGGAATAACAATGAGCGAGGAGGGTATGAGCGAATCATTTCGCATCGCGCTTGTACTTCCAGTTATCCCGGACGACTTCATACAGTGCGTCGGGCTTCAGAAACTATTGTGTGCACGCCTCGAATTACTCCCTATGCGCGTCTCTCTCTCTCTTTCTCTCTCTCTCTCTCTCTCTCTCTCTCTCTCTCTCTCACGCGCGCGCAAGAGAGATGTGCACTCGCGGGTAAGAGACACGCACCACAAAATCCGCGCGACGTGGAATACCAGCACGTTTGGTATATCCTACATTGAAACAAGGGAGAACAACCTCGCGTCGTTCGACCATCGCGACGACGACGACGACGACGACGACGACGACGACGACGACGACGACAACGACAACGACGACGACGACGACGACGACGACGACGACGACGACAACGACGACGACGACGACGACGACGACGACGACGACGACGACGACGACGACGACGACGACGACGACGACGACGGCAGCGGCGGCGTCGTCAGCTACGATGGCGACGACAACAGCGACGACAACGACGACAGCGGCGGCGACGACAGCACAGAAACTCGTTAAACTTCCCGCACACGCGAAACGGGAGCGCGTGAGTAACAAAACTCCTACTCGGAGAGTGGTCGCAGTTCGCACGGGATTCAATTAGCACCACAGCGGTGAATTTTGCACTCGCGAATGAGGATAAGAGAGATTCGGAGGAAGAGAAGTTTGGGTGAATCCAAATGATAATCAACATGTTGAAAGGCGAAATCGTGAATGTAGCCGTCTGACAACGGCCCCATCGTCAAGCGGGCTATTTATAGGGCAAACTCCGATAATTCTCCGATAAATCCGCCGATCCGGGCAAAATACGAAAGCGCGCTCGACTTGGTCTCTCACTCACCGGATGCAAGAACGGGGTTGTCGGTCCATGCACTTCCCGCGATCGTGGACAGCAGCACGGCGCCGGTCAACAGCCGGAATCGGCCTTGCGCGGTTCCCGGGACACGTTGAACGCGTTGTTCACCGATCATCGCGCTACCGAATGGACGAGAGGGTGCGCGACCGGCATCCCGACTGAGGCATCCCGCTTGGCCGTGCCGAGAGAGAGCGTGTTTCTCTACCCCCTGTATCATCCCCTCTCTTTTCCCGCCACGCGCAGACGCCTCCACCGCGTCGGGCTTTCGCGACTCTTGAACCACCCCCGTCAGACTTCGTCTTAATCCCACTCACTTATCTCTTATCAATAGGTGACGATTAATTATCCCACTACCCTAGCGCAGCCGCTGCGCTTTCGAGGTCGTTCGCAACCTGTGGCACGCTCGTCTCTTTGGTGTGTCCTTTAGCGCGTCTCCGAGCCTCGAGGATGGAAAAGATGAGCGCGAGCGTAATATCCGCCGGTCGATCCCGCGCCTTCGATCGGACCTCGTGCTCGATTTACGGCCGATCGCGATTGTAATTCGTACGCGGGGCATGCGGAGAATCCGAAAACTCCGGTGAATGAAAAATGCAAGAGTTTTCTAAAAAAAAAAGGAAGAGGGAGAGAGAGAGGGGTTCTCTCGAGGTTGTCGGGAAAATTTGAAAATAAACTCCGCGCGCGGCGAATCCGTCCGGTGAGGAAAGCTCGTGTCGGATCGACGTGGTGCGAGTTGACGTAAGTTTTCGAGTTGAAGCGCGACGGTAACGTAGAGGGAGAGAGGAATCGCTCTAAAGTTCGACTGAAATGAATTTCATATCGGCCAAGTCAAACGTCCTCCGAAGCGAAAACTACAATTTGCTCTCAATTAAGAGAGTGACCTTTCATCCACTCGAAGTTTCGAGCTACCCTATTTGAGTTGATTGAAGGATAATTCCTTGGCACAATCAGTACCCTTTATTCCCTCGCTCCAACGTTTGTTAATGATACTTTTATATAGCGAGGTATTTCCCTCTTCAACCCCCCCTCCCGCTCGGCATTTTGCTTCCCTTGTCCTACTGAATAGAAACACCTGTGGAACATCACTGAAAATTTCCTCTTTATGATAAGTTTCATTCCGTATTCGCGACATTATCGTGACTGGCGCGAGATGAGAGTCGGATAAATACTTGGGTGTACAGGGTGTGCAGGGATAATCGCGGTGCTTGTATTGGCATTCACTGGTGTTCGATGGATTAAAGATGCGTTATTTTATCAAGGAAACACGTACAATTTTGTTACAATATTCGCGGGGTACATCCGTCGCGTTCAATAACCAAGATTTGATTGACAAATGGAGGACAAAGTGGAGAACGAGCGCGGTTAAAACTTGTTTTAATTTATCAACAATCAATTATAGATATTCGCCGACGCGGTATAAGCGTACACACCCGCGCGGAAGTGGATCGAAGATGCGTCATGACGATATCAAATATCGCATATTGTATGTGTGTGTGTGTGTGTGTGTGTAACTTTCATTTATTGATTGCAGATATTAGTTGTGCTGTTGTGTAAGCGCTGCTCGAAAGTTCATACATATTCAGCCATTCACCTTCGCGTGGAATAAACGATAAAGATAATTGATAGTGTGAAATATCGATTAGTTATATCGGGAATAGTTTAATGGATTTTGCCAGAAAGTGTGATTAATAAAGCCGCGAAGGAAATATGATTTTCGCTGACGTGTGATGGACGGAAGATTTTCGAGTCAGTCCTTAATTGTTTATTCCCTGGGACAATCACGCTGTAATAAATCGTTTCGAGTTTGATTGATATCCCTGCAACATAATTAATACAAATCGCGCGAGAACATTTCAGGAAAAAAAGACAAAAGATATTTACGCGTTTCCTCTTTTCGCATCCGCGACGTTCTCTCTTTGGTTTCGGACGTTTTCCTCGCCGCGGTTGTTATTTAACAGCGTTTAATAGCTTTCGCTCGCTCGTGCATCGTGTCGTGTTTTAAACTGCAATGCCCAAAAATAAAATACGAGATCCAGTTTCGATATGAGTGAAGTTAATGAGTGCGAGATACTTTCAACCTGTGATTTATCGATCGGACGTATCGCCCGCCGATCGAACAGTCGAAATCGGGGGGGGGGGGGTTACACTTGCAACGTTGACTTGTGATCGAGCAGTTGTTCGTTTTCGACTATCTTCTCCAGCGCGGTACGCTGTACAATAAAATATACGTGCTATGTTTTAACGCGCGATGCTACCGTGACTGATTACTGATGGCGAGTCACTCGTTAGTGATATCCGGCGATACCTAAGGATATCCAACATTCCCCGTTCAACTGTTTCCCCTCCCACCCCCACCCCCCCCGTGCAGCTGTTAGACAAAATAACATGTAAACACCCTCGTAATCGTCGCTTCCGCGCTCAGAGCAGAAATCTCGCGCGGTGAATAATGTTCCTGCGGAGGTGTGGATTGCAATATCGCGGCGTATGGAAGAACGCCGTGCACTAGATAAGCGAGTTCTTGCGGCATTCGCGTTAGAAGGCGTGTCGGGAGACTCCAGGGCGCCAGAAGACGCACTGCCATTGTAGCCTCTAACTCCTGTGACGACGGAGTTCCTCTTCCTCGCTTCCTACCGCACCTCCTCGCTTCTTCCTCTTTTACCTCCCGCTGCAACGACGCTTCCACGATGCTGTTCCTCGTATCTGGTCTCACGTACGCGCACATTCCTACTCGAATATTGTCTGCCAGCGAGTATTCCAGCTCTCTCTCTCTCTCTCTCTTCCTTCCCCCCCCCCTCCTCTCTCTCTCTCTCTCTCTCTCTCTCTCTCTCTATATGTGCAGTCCGAAGAGTCCACTCCGTTTTCGGACGTCAATTGGCGTGCGGTGCATTGCGGGGATGCTATATCTCTGCAATTCGCCACCGAGCAGGATCCACAATGCAGGACGAATGCAGGTGCGGGAGATTGAAATATAAATGTAGATCCGATCTATAATTTCTAGGGCGGGCGGTATAGACCGTTCTGTCGGGAACTTTCAAAGCGCGCGAGGTATCTAATGAGCGCGTAATATACTACATCTCAGATTAAGGAAGCGCGTGTAAATCATGCACGAGTAAACCGGACTTAGCCTATAAAGACGTGAAATCTGTATTGGGGTCGTTAGTGGCATGCGGCCAAAAGGGTTATTGCCAAGTAACAGGCAAAGAAGGAACCAAGAAACTTTCATATCGCTATTAACGGCATCTCCCCCCCCCTCTCTCTCTCTCTCTCTCTCTCTCTCTCTCTCTCTCTCTCTCTCTCTCAATTTATGCAACTGATTCGAAGAAGAGAAATTAGATTGCTCAAGAATATGTCATTTCCTGCCCGCGATATTAACCCTTTAACGCCCGACCTTTTTATAAGTGTTTTAAGAATAAAATTTGAGTTTTTTTGAACTGAGACTATAAGTAGTGACAATCAAAAGAAATATCAGAATTTTATATTGGTTTTTTTATCGTTCGTTTTTTGTTTATTGGTAAATATGACTTGGATCCTAAAAGCATATACGAAATGAGCAACCTATACGGAGAAAAATGAAGGGTAATCTATACGACATAACTCTGATAGTCAGCTGAACTCAGCTTGACATTTTTGAGCTGAAACTTTACTATATTTGTGAGTGAAGTTTATCATTCAGAGCGTCAAGCTTACTATTTCGGAAGAATATCTTATAGATCACCATTTAGATAGTCAATCGTCCCTTCATTTTTCGCCGCATAGAAAGCTGTAGGTCACCAAGTTTCACGAAAATAGGTTGATTTCTTGATTTTCATGTCCACCATGTTGGATTTGCCATTTTGAATTTCTATATTCTTTTAATTTCACATTTTGCATCTGAGAAAGCTTCTAAATGTATAAAATTATTACAGATACCAATCTATACTCATTTATAATGCACTTCTAGATGTCAATAACAACGCTAACTATGCCTACTTGGAATTTGACAAAACATGTTATCATTAAAAGCTGAGCTAAAAACTACATACGATCTATATACCATTTTTTAGAAGAATAATTCACCTTTACAGTGGTGCGAAATGAAAATATCTCCTTTTTTGACCAAGTTATGGATTCTTAAATGCGTTTCTGGTAACTATAGTTATCAGTAGGCGTTAAAGGGTTAAAATCAAACTCACTTGCACCTTCAGCTTGCAAAGATCATCGAAATTCTCTCGATACATTGGCGCACGCAATCGATGCATATCTTGTCGGCTGCGTGTATCGGCGAGTGAGAACTTGCCGGCCTTTTTGCCTCTCTCGACGACGTCATTTGATATTGCAGCATGTAGCTGATCGGATTATCTTGAAAACCCACATAATCAAAACAGCGTGAGAATACGGTCGAGTGTCGGGACAAAGGTTCATAACGTCGTTCCCATTTTCCCCGGTAGACCCCGGAACACTTTGGCGGCACGCAGCCTCGTGTTGGCGAACAACTAGGCTCTGCCGAGGAAGTGGAAGACGACCACTCCGGAAGCAACAACACGGGGCGTCGATGTGTTCGGGAACGTCAATGGCTTCGGCATAACGTGCTCTCTCGCTTCCGCCTGTCTGTCGTCTCCCTACCACAAAGTTACATCTCGCAAATTGCGTTTGTCAACAACGGCTAATTGCTGCCGTGAATGTTACTCAACTATGAAGTGGCTCATAATTAGACTGATGCAACCCGCGGAGAATCGAATTATTTGTCAAGCGGCAAAAGCAGCAAAAAGGAGGAGTTTCGTGTCTTTCCCTCGTTCCCTTTCTCTCTCTCTCTCTCTCTCTCTCTCTCTCTCTCTCTCTCTCTCTCTCTCTCTCTCTCTCTCTCTCTCTCTCTCTCTCTCCCTCTCTCTCCCTCTCTCTCTCCCTCTCTCTCCCTCCCTCCCTCTCTCTCTCTCTCTCTCTCTCTCTCTCTCTCTCTCTCTCTCTCTCTTTATCCATCTCTCTCTCTATCTCCTTCTCTCTTTCTCCGCGTATGAGAGGGTAACGGCTCAGCGTCTCGGGGAAACGGTTGTATTTTTGGGAGTCGTACTTTCGGACGTGCCTGCGGGAAACGCAAACGGGATCGTGACTCACATTCGCCGTCGGCCGTGCTGAATTTGCGAGCGAACCTGCGCGCTAAGTCCGCCTCGTCGTGGTCGGGGGTCGAAGATTATTATG